GGAAACAATATTTAGTCCTTGTTCTTTCACTAATACACTGTGATTCTTATTCATTACTTCACATTTCTGGGTCTTCATCTATTGAGATGAAAAAAAAGAAAAGAAAGAAGAGAGGGTCAGACCAAATGATCTTTTAGGATTACCCTAATATTCATATTTTACAATCTATGCACAGTTAATACTCAGGGATCCAAGTGTGTCCATTGAGATTAGGTAAAACAACCCATATATTTACAGTCCTCCACTGGAGGAAATCTGAGATATGGTGGCAACAGCACAAGTGTGACAACAGCTTCAGTTCCAGACTCTTTTACTCAACAACTGCAGAACCTTGGTTCATTTATTTCCTCCCTCTGAGGCTGAGAACATAATGCTCCTCAGATTGCTTTGCACATATTAAGTCTCCATTAAATGTTAAATCCTTCCCCCTTCCTGTAAATTATGGCCCCAGTGAATGTGCACATCGGTTATAGCTGGCGTAAGAGCAGTGGTTCTCAACCTTCTGGCCCTTTAAATACAGCTCCTCATGTTGTGACCCAACCATAAAATTACTTTCGTTGCTACTTCATAACTGTAATGTTGCTACTGTTATGAATCGTAATGTAAATATCTGATATGCAAGATGGTCTTAGGTGACCCCTGTGAAAGGGTCATTCGGTCGCCAAAGGGGTTGCAACCCACAGGTTGAGAACCGCTACATAAGAGCAACAGTATTAACATGGATCTTTTGTAGTTTTGACACAAAGTCTGTATGAGAACTGTTCTTTTTGAGATTGGTAATCTTCTTATCTCCAAATCTAAAAACGCCAGCTCATTTCTCATCCTGGCTGACTGCTTTGTAGGACCTAATATGGTGACCCATTCTCACGTGAAAAGGGGTCTTTGGCTTCCCCCATGCCTTTCTGATTGTTTCATTCTTGGTGTCCTATTGCTGCTTCCTCTTCCTCTGTCTGCACTTAGATAATGACTTCTAATCTTGGAATACTTGTCAGACGACTTACTCTATCTTGGTAATCTTTTCTATGCCCAGGCTATCTGGAAAGAAAAATCAGTTCTGCGTATACTAAGAGGAACACTCTTAAACTCCATATGAAGATAATCTTTGTTGCCTTGGTAGATTAAATTTTTTTTTCTTAGAGCCTATATTTCTACAGAAACTTAAATGGGGAAAATCAAGAGTGTAAAAATATATTTTGCTAATGAAATACTGGCAACATTTTCTTCCTTTGATGGTCATAGCTGTTTTTAGAATTCTGCATGATTAACCTGTCATATTCTTGCTATTCTCATCTTTGCTTTTATCTGCTCAGAGACTTAAGAAGTGCCAACTTGTGCTATTTTTTTAATGATTAAAGAAACTGTATAGTAAGGATTAGCATCGATCAGCAAAGACTAGAGAGAAACTGCACCCTGTCCTCTCCAGTGCACCACATTTTCTCATTCCAGTGCCTCCTTTAACTGATCACATTCAGGAGGCTGTGCAGCGAGAGCCCTTAGTGTCGAGAAAGAATGAAGATGTTCAAGGCAGGGAGCTTACATTTGGTTAGGGAAGTGGTGTCACTGGTAACATCCAACATGTAGGAGTTAAAGGCTGATCCACTGCAAAAGCAATAATTTGAAGCTAAAGTGTTTAAGAAAGATCTAAAGGATAAGCTGGGAATTGAGTTGTGCCGTAATATTAGAATTAGTAGAAAAGAGAAAAAAATACAAAACAAGATCAATTCTATAAACTAAGCATTTGAGGTAAGAAAATGAAAACATTAAATATGTTCACAGAAAAGTGGGTAATTGAAGCTCTGAAGACGTAAGCTGGAGCCTGGGGTGATTTTGTAGAAGGCTATAAATGTCAGGATCAGTATTTTAGGCTTTGTTCAATAAGGAGTAGGAGCAAGCAGTGTTTTATCTGTCAGCATGTAGAGAATAAATTAGGAGGATAAGACACATCAGTCTGGATGCCAGCTAGTACACTATTGTAGCAATGCAAAGATGCAGTAATAGGGTCTCAGAACCACAGTAGTGGGAATGGGCAAAAAATAAATGGACTTTCAACATGCAGTAAAGTAATTTTAGTACTTAGTGGCAGGTGAGAGTAGCAGAAATAGAAATAAGCAAGTCAAAGATTTTATTCTTTAACGTCAATATTTTTATTTTGAGAATACTTACTGCATATTGATGGAAATTCTTAGGTCAGAAACTAGAGCTGATTTTAGAGAGTATATTTTGTATATTGTGCATTAGAGGTGACAGCAGGGGAGCCAGTTAAAAATATCCAAGTATGCATTTGAAATGTAGCTGTAGACATAGCTTAGGACAGAAGATAGAAATTTAGGTAAAATTTCCAGAAAGGGTTTTGATGAAGCCATAGAAGCGAAGGTCCCCAAAATACATTACATACCACCAGAAAAGCAATTATTGCATTTTACCATTAATATATTTTTTTTCTATAACCTGTTTGTATTTGTAGAGTGTTTAAGCATTTCTTTTTAACTAAAGAATTAAATTGTATTAACTTTAAATTACTAGTTCTTTGCTGTAACAGAAACAATACCCTATGAATTAACTTTGCCATTCTATGACTCTAAAGGTAGAAATTTTTTATCCCATGGATTTTACCAGACCATTGGTCTAGACCAGTGATCAGTAAACAATGGCCTGTGTACCAAATCCAACCCATAGTCTGTTTTTTTAAATACAGTTAGAGTTCTTTTGAAGAATAGCCATAGCCATTTCCTTACCTATTGCCGATGGCTGCTTTCATGATACAAGGCAAAGCTGAGTAGTCAGCCCTCCATATCCACAGCCTCCACATCTGCAGGTTCAACCAGCAACAAATGGAAAAAATACTTTTAATGTTACAGTGTTGATGATTTACACTATGTTGCATCTGGTTTCATGTGGCCTACATATTATTGGGTTCAGCCTGTTGAGAGAATAAATGTATATAACGTAATTTTTATATATTTCTTATGGTAGGAAATATACTATAGGTATAGATGATTTAGGTGACTCAAGGAAAATCTATATGTTTGTGGAATAGTGCATTGACCATTTTGCCTAGAGTTTCTGAGTGAGTTGGAGGCAAGAGCCCACACTCTGGGGGAATTGAATATCTCCAGGAGTATTTGAATACCAGAAGGAAAGGGGAGAGGAGGAGGAGGAGGAGGAGGAGGAGCACAGTAAGAGAAGGATTTTTTCAATAGGAAAGCAAAAGTAGTGAAGAATCTTAGCAAAGCTTTGGATATGGACAATGATGTATTCCAGGAAATTCTATCTAATAGTGTAAGAACTAAATAAAGGGGAGGGAGGGAGGGAGGGAGGGAGGGGGGAAGGGAGGGAGGGAGGAAGAGAGAGAGAGAGATTTTAAAGAAGGGATTGACGGGATTTGGAAACTTTAAAATTTGAATTATTTAAATATCACATGGAAATTTTAGAGGGTCTTTGACATAGGCATCTTTCCTGTCAAAAAGTGCAAATATCATGA